GTCGGCGACGGAGGAGACGGCGGTCGCCGAGAAGGCGGCCGACTCGCTGGCGGTGGCGACCACGAACCCGGTGAGGTCCATCGCGATTCGTCTCCACATTCTCGCTCGGATCGGTACAAGGGTGATCTCGGTTAGTCTCTCCGTCCCAGTTTGTTCGTTGATTTTATTGTCTTCTCTTTTTTCTTCGTTGCCGAATCTGAGATTTAGGCGTTCTGATTCTGAATTAGTTAGAGTTGCAACTTCGTTGGTATAGCCTTTATTTGGAGATTCCTGGATTTGGTTCTTACTTCTGCTTCCAATTTTATAACCATGATTTCGTGCTTGTTTGATCGTGAACATATTTTGTTCCTACGGCATCAGTAAATTTCTTATGCAGTGATCGCAGAATGATGTGAGCTACCTCTATAATATGATGCCTTAATGGAGTGTGACTTGCGAATGAACATTCGTTTTGTGTGTTTACAGCTGCTCTTGCCTGCAAAAACTTGGGTATTGAGGAAGGCTTGTTAGTCTGAATGGTGTCTGGGTCAGATATCTGTTTTGGGGTCTTTCTATATTGTTATGTAAATGTGATTGGGTTGGGCCATGCCAATGATGGATATCCTTGATCTGAAATCATGGGATGCTGTTCTTCGTAACCGGTATTTGTATCTCATCTGCTATGGACAGCATATGAATGGTTAAGAGTTTGGTGACAGTCACATAATCTGTGTTGAGAGTGTGGGGTACGATAAGGGATATCGTACTGTGGGCTCAGGCTTTTGTCAAAGAAAGGCTCTAGTTGTCAACTGTGACGATTGAATGCTCAATGCTGCTGGGTCATACTTGCATGTGGGAAGAATCCACACAAGGTCCGGTTGAAATTGGAAACTCTTTTCTTGCATCTGCTTATCTATTGTGGAAGCGGTTTTGCTTGTCCAACCAATTGCAACTAACTGTCTTGGTTACCACTGGTCTGTTGTATTGGGTTAGTTTCTACTCTTTTTTCCAACCGACAAATTTAACCTGGTTTTCAAGTATTCTTTTAAGAACATCTGGAGAGACGAGGAAGCTGAATGACTCGGCAGTTAGTTAAGAGGTCTATCATATTACTTTTCTAAGTGGTTTAGGCTTCCAATCTGGCTTTAACAGTTGTGCAGATACATCCAGTAGGATAATTCATTGGATATGTGTTTTCTCCGACTTCTCACTTTCCAGCTCTTTTCGTTTTGAATCACCCGAGGGATTCCTGAGGACCAGTTGGTACGGGTCAACTATTGGTTTGGTTTTGGGCCTTTTGCTTCATCAACATAATTGCTAGGTCTATCCTTGGGGAAGCATAGGAGCTCATCTTGAGTTTAGACACGTTTGATCTGTTTCTGAAATATGTCAAGAAACAAATTCAACTTCTGGTGGTTCATTTCCCTGAGAGGATTTACTGGGTCTTGTGCTTCTCATGAGGGGTGCTTAAGCTAATGGTGTTGAGGATCTTCGTAAAACAACCCTAATGGATTTTTGTTACTGGTCGCTGTGGGTAGTTGGTGTTAGATTACAGGCTGTAAAATCTGGTGACAGCTTGTGGATTTCAGCAAATGTTTCATTGCTAGCGATACATATCTACAGTCCTTGGTCAGTTATGATAGATTAAAGAACTTGGGTTCAGTTACTATGGTATACATCAGTGCTTTGGATCTGGGTACTATCGGGGCACCATATATGGGTGAGGATGGGACCTACAGAGTTGTAATTTCGGGTGTTTTGTTAATGGATGGATCTGAAGAGAAAGGAGCACTTAATACTTTGAACTTTTGTTCCCTGCTAATATATTCTCTTGCATTCTATTAGTGAAGAGGGCCTGCAAGTTTGTAGCCGTCCTCACCAAACTTTGTTTGACTGGTAACTGGTCAGATATCTGCTGGCTTGATAATTTGTTTGCATTTTTCTACTGAGATTTTGCTTACCATGAGATTTCCTGCTTGGCTCTTTTCGTCCAGGACATAGAACTCGGGCAGGTTCTCGTTCTCCTGCCCGCCGTGCGGATAGAGATCACGGATATGGCTCCGATATTGACCATTCCAGTGGCGCTCCTCGTGGTCATGAGTTCGGCAACAGAAGGGAAACCTCTGGGAGATACAGAGATCATTCACCATCTGGTATTAGAGGTGGAGCTGGTGCTCGATCTAATGGCAGAGGTCTGGATGGGCCTGGACTTGGGCGCGGACCTATAAGAGGTGATGGCATTCAACGAAACAATAACCCAAATGTGCGACCAAGAGAAGGAGATTGGTTCTGTCCAGATCCACTGTAAGTTCATACCTGGTTCTGTTCTGTTCTAAATTATCCTATCAGATTATTTGAGGATCTCGGGCTTTTACATGAATCATTGATTGACATACTGTGTTTTGGTGATTAAGCTTCTCCTCCTCCCTCAATCTATATATAAAATTTGAAACATTTTTGTATAGTATGGGGTCATGACTAATGTATCCAGGACCATATTTTTAATTTGCGAGATTTGTGTTATGGCTACAGCTGCAGAAACTTGAACTTTGCGAGACGGGAGAGCTGCAACAACTGCAAGAGGCATAGGTATGCACCTGTAGCTAGTCCTCCTCCACGACCTCGTCGGGATTATTCTCTCTCTCCTCCCCGACACTTCCCAGGCCCTCCCATCGATCTCTCTCCAGGACGTGGCCTTAACGGCTACAGGTCTCCCCCTCATGCCTGGCCCCGGGATTCCACCTCTCGAGACCTGCTCCCGCCCCCGAGGCATGATCCTCCCGCTTGGAGAGACCGAGACCGAGAGCGGGAGCAACTGCATTACCTGGAAGATGATTACCCGAGGAGAAGACCGGTGTTGGATTGTGGAAGAGACCCGCTACGGAAACCTCACTACGAGAGGCAGCGGCCACCCGGACACGATGTTCGAGACAGGAGCAGGTCCCCGATGAGGGGTGGCCCACCACCTCCGCCGCCGCTGAGGAACTACCGCCGTGACAGTTACTTGGAAAGAGGACAAGGCGAGCGCGGCGGCAGTTCAAGAGGCCGGTTGGGCAATGGTTACTAACGGATTTGGGGAAAACATTGTCTTGAATTTGGTTAAACTGTCGGAAAACTTTCCTCCTAGTGTGGTGGTGCTGCTTGTATCTCTCTCCTTCTATTTGATGTTGCAAATTTTGTTGAGCTTATAAAAAATTTTCGGACACAATCGTAAAAGATGTTTCCAGTTTTGGTTGGGTAGGATGGTGTATCCACGTGTAGAGCTGTAATTGGTTGAGCTCTGCCTCTTTTTTCCCGGAGATATTATATTCTGTCGATCGGCCGGTGGATAATCCGATAGTATTAAATCTTCTACTATGAATTGGCATCGTTGGATCAGTGTTTTCAATATGAGCCGTGCGATGGGATTGCCTCGCAAATCTTACCGTCCAAATTAATTAGGAATTGAAATTTCAAAACATGTTAGGAGAGAGGGAGAGATGCTCCGAAGAAGAACAAACAAAACCGAAAGCCCTCAGCTTTTTTGTTTACGCTGTTTCACCAAATATTTCTCTTCTTCTTCTGAGCTAAACTCATTGGAACCCTAATTTATCTCTCTCTCTCTAAGCTTGTCCTTTTCCTCATCGTATATGCTGATCAGAATTCCTTTTTCAAATTTTCCTTCGATTGGCTCGCGTTTCTCGCATTTCGCGCGGATTTGGTCTGGCTTCAGATCTGACGTTTTTGTGTTTCTCGAATTGATTTGTAGAATTTTTGGGCTTTTGCGCGGCCGGATTTTTCGGCGATAGTAAAACAGTGAATTTCAAAAGGAAAAAAAGGAAATATTGGAATACAGGGAATTCGAATGGGTGAGGGCGGTGATGGAGGCGAATTCCCGCCAAAAAAGGAGCAACCAGAAGCGTCTGATTTCCCGGTGAAGAATCCGGCGAGGCAGCTCGACTTCACTGGTGGCGCCGACGCGGTTCTGCCGGAAAATTCTCATTGCAAAGCCTCGGCTCCCGCCGCCGTAACTGCGACGGCGGTGAAGACAAGTAAGGCACCCGGAATCGGGCAAGTGCGGCCGACGATGCCAGTGGTGCCGCTGACGCCGTCGTCGCAATCGCAGGTCCTTCATTCCTCAGCCAGGCTTTCGTAAGTCGTATATAACTTTTACTGGTTTTGCTTGTTTAATCTCTACATTTTCAATACGCCTTTTGCTTCTTCTGTTAGTTCAATTTGGAAAGCCATTTGCTTTGATAAGAAGGAGTTGAAAATATGTGTAGATTGGTATGAGTTCTTTGTAGAATGTACGTTTATGCTTTGATCACTGTATCTGTATTGTTTTTCTTCACTTCTCTGGTTCGGACATGTTGGTGTCAGTATGGCCACTGCGCTGAATTAGTTAGTGTTCCTCTTCTTTCAATGAACGGGAAGATTTGCTTTCTTCACTAGAGCAGTTCCAGTTCTTATGCAGATTCGGTGTGATTAGGCTTTGTTATCTCAGATTTACTTAATGGGTTCAATGACAAATTCTATTGTTGAAGTAGTTAAAGGCTTCCGTCAAATGTTGAACTTAAGTTTGATCAGATGCCTACTTTATCACTGTTATTCTTGGCAAAGTCTTAATCTTTCAGATTTTTTGTTGTATTGATTGGATGATCCTATCTTTTTCATTTGTGTCCCCTTTTTCCCAGAAAGCTGGAATCTCCCAAATCGAGAGCAAGACCTTCTGTGGATGCAAGAGATGGAACTCCTCAGAAGAAAAAACAGTGTAACTGCAAACACTCACGGTGCTTGAAGTTGTAAGTCTGCTTTTCTTGTCTCGAGCTGTCGAGCAAATGATTGATCTTTGACATGCCTTAACATTTGGGCGCAGATGATTTATCGGTGAGTTTTCGAGCATGTTTGTTCGTACATGCTCGGGTCTTGGATTATTTAGGCTGGAGTTTGTCAACTGCATTGCTTTTTTATGTTTTTCTTTTCTGTGGCCCTGCTGTGAAAAAAATCCTCAAATCTGGTTTCTGGGCCTTGTGTATTTGGATAGAATTTAGCTAATTGTGCAATATAGTTATCAGTATGAGACGCAGATCAAACATTAGTAAGTGATCTCTTTGTTAACCATCGTGGATCTTTGCTTTATGCTTCATGTTTCTTTTGTTTCATGACATTTGGTTTGGGATCCATCCTGTCTGCAAACACTAAAAATCTTAAGCATATGTCTTGATCAGGTATTGTGAATGCTTTGCATCCGGCACATACTGTGATGGATGCAACTGTACAAATTGCTTCAACAACGTTGAAAACGAAGCTGCTAGACGAGAAGCTGTGGATGCAACTCTGGATCGGAATCCTAATGCATTCAGACCTAAAATTGCTAGCAGTCCTCATGGTGCATGTGACAGTAGGGTATGTGGTTCAAGGAAGAGATGTTTATCAATTTTAATTGTCTTCCTCATAAAGGGAGGTAATATCTAGTTCTAGAGTGTGAAAATAGGTTATAATTTAGGCTATGCTCTAACTCTCCCGGGTATTTTACTATTTCAACGGGCGGAATAGTTTCCTTGATGCTCTATCATAGGGAAACTTGGATCACTTTTCTTTCTTCTTCCTTCCTTAACTGGTTAAATTCAAACCGTATAAATTTAACCAAAAAGTTTGCTAGAAAGTTCTTTAAGCTTTTTAGTCATGGTAAGATGCTTAAATTGTCCATCTGGCTTTTCGTTCAACTGCGTTTCAACTTCTTTATTACAGGAGGAGGTTGGTGAAGTTCTCGTGTTAGGGAAGCACAACAAAGGATGCCACTGCAAGAAATCGGGTTGCCTGAAGAAGTATTGTGAATGCTTTCAGGCAAATATTCTCTGTTCTGAGAACTGCAAATGCTTGGATTGCAAAAACTATGAAGGGAGTGAAGAGAGACAGGCTCTGTTTCATGGCGGTGAACATGCCAACAACATGGGTTATCTCCAACAGGAAGCAAAAGCTGCCATTACTGGAGCTGTTGGTTCCTGTGGCTTTGCTTCCTCTCCAGCGCCTAAAAGGAAGAAATCTCAGGAAATCATCTTCAGCCAAGCAACCGAGGATCCATCTGTTCATAGGCTCAGCCATTTTCATCAGGTAATCTTCTATGTGAATGCTGTTTGAAGAGAGAGAATTTGGGCATTCCTTCAATGCAACTGAACGCTTGGTTGGAATTGTTATTGTTCATATTACATTTCATTTCCCCGTTCATGGTGCTGAAAAGATCTTTTTTTTCTCGGACATGGTTAGTGAAATGAGATCTTATTTTCTTTACGTCGGTTGCACATTTGTTGCTCTCAGGCAAATAGTGGAATATCCACTGGACCAATGTCGAGTAGATCTCCTCAAGTACCCGTTTCTCGTGCTTCTGGCAATGTGTCATTAGGTCCATCCAAATTTTTATATAGGTGAATTTTCTAGTGGTTACAAAGTTATAGCTGACCCAGGAGTTGCAGAACCTAATCTAATGGTTGTTTTTTTCAGGTCTCTCTTGGCAGATATCATTCAACCACAAGATGTGAAAGCACTTTGCTCTGTTTTGGTTGCTGTAGCTGGAGAAGCTGCAAAGACATTAGCAGGTGAAAAGTTTGATGATTGTATAGTGTATATATTGAGAGGTTTATGTGTAGCATCGAGAGCTAAACCTCAGTCTTAAAATTCTCAAAATCTTTGATCTTTTCCTTCAAAATTTTGTTTTCTCAGACGAGAGAATTGAAACAGAGAAAAGGATGGAAGTTCAGAAAGAAACTTTCTTGGCCTCTTCTGCACAGGATCAAGGGCAAGGTGTCAAGGCCGAGAAAGTTGAAACTGGTGATGGTAAACCTTGTGGAGAAGATTCAAACTCAGAAGACGGAAGGCCTCTGTCTCCCACAACTTTGGAATTGATGTGCGATGAAGAGGACACTATGTTCATACTGGCAGCTTCATCTAATGCTTCAGTGGATGCCGATTCTGAGAAAACCTCACAGCTACCTAACGGGAAAGGCCTATCAGAAATCTATGCAGAGCGGGAGAGAATAGTATTGACCAAGTTCTGGGACTGCCTTCATCGACTCATCTCCTACGGTGAATTAAAGGGTATGTATCTCTTAACTATTGCTGAATCTGCCCTGCCCGAAATATTATGTTTCCCATCTAAAGCCTAGTTTGGGTGTTGCAGAATCAAATTGTTCGTCTTTCGCAAGAACACATAGAGGAATGGCTGCAGCTTTGGAAACCGAAGCCGGGTTTAATCAGGGACCGACCATGAATGGAGTTTCCCGACCAAGTACCCAATCTACAACCAAACCACCACTGCCCCGACTGACTGCAACTTCGGTTCAAAACCCTTCAAACACTCATCTTCATAAAGCTCCACAGGTTTGACAGAGAAGAAAAACCTCTGAACAAAGAACTTAGGACAATAACATACAAAGACAAGAATTCCTGGCAGTGGCATGACCCTCTTGTTGTTATGAGGTATGCTACCGCCTTTCTGTAACCCTATATATCGTCTTCTTCTTCTTCTTCTTCTTTTTGATCTAAAGCTTGGCTGGTCATTAGTGAGGAATCACAGTCTGGTTGTATCATTAAGTTTTTGAGTTAATTTTCTTCTACATTATCCATCTTTGATTCTTCTTCTTCTTATTCAGCTCGGTGTAGATTTAGAGAGCTCTGATGTTTTCTTTTCTTTTTTTTTCCTGGTGAGATAAGTAAATGCTATTCTGTACATTGTTACTTGCCATTCGCCATTGGCAATCACAGTTGTGTGTGTGTGTTTGCTTAGGACATAGGCTTTAGTCTGTCCCCGACACTACCGAGTGTGATTCTGTCCCAAAGTTTCCAAGTATAGTCCCTAATATGACAAGTCTCCACAACGCCTTTAATGTAAAAATTTAAGGTATTGGGCTAAGGATCTTCGATAAATATGGGCTTTCAGTTGTTCAATAAGCCTATCTCTTAAGCTCATGTACTTCGTTTTTTTTTTAATATTATTCATTTTTTTTAAAGAAAAAGCACATCGTCATGTGGAATGCATGAATATTTTTACTTTGTCAAATATGAAATAAATCATCCTCATGAGTCATGAATACAGAATTTCGTACAATCTTCCGCCAACGGCAAATGATCCAATAAAATTGTGTTGTTTTTTTTAATTTATTTAATTAAAAAGGACGTGAATTAAAATTAACCCTCGGAACAAACGGCTCTCGCCTTCGCCTTCGCCTTCTATATAAGGCCAAGGAAGGGAGAAATAAACATCACATAATCTTATTCCAATCAAAGCATTACAAAAAAAAAAAAAAAAAAAAAATTATGCTCCCTTTCAAGAACCGCACCATCTTGCCATTGGTTGTCGGCTTATTATTCGTATTGGGAAATAATAACCGATATTCATGTGCCAAAAAAGAACCAAATACTAAGTATTGGATCCATATCAAGAACAATTTATCCAACATCGACGGCGACATTCTCCAGGTATATTAAATTGATAACTGTTAGAGATATATACGGATCTCTATTGTATTTCTCTCTAACAACAACTATGTAAAGTTTATTTGCATTTATCTTGAGTTTTTTTTTTATTATATTAGAAGTTATGTTATTTGTAGAGTCAATAACTATATTGAATAGAAAACTACATTATCTATTCGAGTTATTACGAATTTACGATGATCAATAATATAAAGGTAAAATATTACATAACCAATCACAAGAGATTCAAATTTTATAATTTATTCATTATTATTATTATTTAACCGTCGTTATTAAAAAGAATGATGAGATGATTATAAAATTTAATTTTTTATATAATTATATTTATGTTTGAATATCTTATGTTTGGTTATATAATATTTTAATATTAATTACCAATTAAAAGTGTTATTTTTGAGTGATTTATATATTTGGTATAGAATTTAGTTCAACATGATTGTTTCTAAACTTTAATAAAAAGTTTCATAATAATATCTGAATTTGAACAAAAAAGTTCACAATAATAACTGAATTCGATTAAAAATTTTCAATTAAAACTAGTAACTGATTATTAAAAAGGGACAAAATTGTTTCAAAATTTTAAAAAAAGTTGATGTAATACTGATGTGATGATTCAGTCACAGCATTTTTGTGAAGTATTTTTTACCAAATGTTTTACAAGAAAGAAATTGACAAAGTTTTCGATTTTTGTGAAGTATTTTTTACCAAATTTAGACAGTTCGAGGTTTCATATGAAATATTTTGACAAGTCGAGGATATTTTTTTTTTTAATGAGATCCACCTATGTTATAAAATCTGCCTTATAAATTGAGAAGCGGCCATGTGAATTTATGAGAAATTAGGTCCGATGCGAGTCGTGGGACGGGAAGATGAGGAGGACGAGGCTGGTGGGGAGGGGAGAAGAGTACGTGCTCTGGACGACGAGGGAGACGGCGAGGAAAGGAACGGAGTGCCATTTCACGTGGGGGAAAGAGGCGCAGCACAACGCCGTGGGCTCCATCTTTTGGAACAACGACGCATTCGCCCGCTCTTGCAAACATCTCAGCTGCCTTTGGTCCTTCCAACACGATGGCCTCTCCCTCTTTTCCCCTTCCACCAATTCCTACAAATTGGTCTACCATTGGTTCAGATGATTTCCCAATTTTTTTTTAAATTACAATTTCGTCTAATTAATAAAGTCTATGAATTTTAGGGAAAAAGGATTTCGAGACGGGAGAGAAAGAGAGAGAGCAAAAGGAATTTTGAATTTTTGTATATTTTACAAAAATGACTGTACATGCTGTTGTATACACAAAAGAATGGTGAGGGTTGCAACAGAAAAACGAAAAGTAGAAACCATGTAACAACCCTCCAAAATAGTTCCATTCCCTCGCAAAATTCAGCTCAGTAATATAATCTGTAACACCCCTCCTCAAGTCTGAACCGGTAGAAACAGACTTGAAACATTGAGCCGAGAAAGCAAGCCATAAAATAACTCAGGTTGCAAAACTTTAGTAAAAATGTCTGCAAGTTGATTGGAGACATAGACGTGCATTAGGATCAGGAAACCAAATTTCAACTTGTCACGAACGAGATGACAATCAATCTCGATGTGTTTAGTACACTCGTGAAATACCAAATTGGCATATTCGTTGCCATATGTATAGCAAAACGATTATTGATCACTTGCGTGACGAGCTTTAAATTTATACCCGACACACAACTAATCCGCAAGTATACGGATGTCGTAGTACCAGGGTCGAACACAAGGACTTAAGCGATTAAGCTAGGAGTCGATTAAAACTAGGAAAACGAAAGAAATAAAATTGGTGAATTGTTTTAGGTGGTTTTCAAGATTGCAGAAAATTAGAAGAAGAAAGTAAAATCAAAGCAAGCAATGTTCAAGAAAAGATAGTCGATGGGAAAGGTTATGGGAATCGGGGTTCACCGACCATACAAAGATGTCGTAAGGAATTATGGACCTAGATCATTCTCGTTCTAAAGTGAGGGATTCGAAGACTAAGGTCGGGTTCGGTTCTTTCGATCCGAAAACCCGCTATCCAAGAGAGCATCTATCCACTTTCGTGGCTTAGAGTGCAATCCCGAATGCATTAAATTCCCTTGTCACGATCCTAAATTGGATTGAATCGAATTTCTTTGCATTCAATCTCAACTCATTTCAATGAATGCACCAAGAATCAAGAATACATGTTTCCATGAAATTCTCAATTCTAAATCCTACCCATAAGATTTTCATCAAGGGAGAAGCATTAAACATCATTCATCAAACTCTAGCAATTAAAACCCAAACAATTGCATCATTCAATTCAACAAATCCTAGGTTTCCCTAAACATTCATTCAAGAGAGATAAACTTGAAGAATGAAGAACAAAAACAAATTACATTCAATGCAAGGATTTGAAAGCACGAACAAAGCATAATCTTGGGTCTAAGGTGAATACAAGCATCCTTACATAAGGGCTAATCCCTCATCTCACAACAAGAAACTGCTCACTACTCATGTTCAAGAATACCAAGAAAACAAGATGAAACATAGAGAAAGGGGGGGGGGGGGGGAGAAATACTCAATAATGTCTTCAATCTTCAATCTCTAGCAAATCTCCTTGGTTTCCCTTCAAGATTTCGGCCCTAGGTCTCAAAAATGAGAGAAAACTGTCACCCCCTTCGTTCTCCAAGTTCAGAATGCCCTAGAAATCGCGAAACTCGCGATTTTAGTCTGTCAGTACGCCTAGACCGATCGATCTGGGTGTAGATCGATCGGTCTAAGGCTCGTTTTCTCGCCGCTTCATTTCTTCTCCAGACCGATCGGTCCACCTTGTGTTGATGTCTGGACCGATCGGTCCAGGCTCTGTTTTCTCGCGACACGCCCTTCTCTCTGGACCGAGCTTGAGACCGTTCCGGCTGGGTGGTCTAGCCGATCGGTCTTGGTCCAGACCGATCGGTCAAGACCTTTTCTCCTTCTTTCGGCTCTCCGTTTCGGTTCCTGCACAGCGGTTTGGGTCTACATGTCCCCTGCAACGTCTCCAGATCATCAGGTGTCTGGTTCGACCAAACCGACGTCGATTCAGTCCGATCCAAGTCCCTGGCTACCTTGCTCTACGTCAAAATCTGTAATTCTCCTCGTACACCTGCCAAAAACCGCAAAGATAGTCCCGAAAAGCTAAATGGGCTCTAAAAATGCCTAAGAGTGTGTGGAAACCGTTTAGAAACCAAAGGCATACTCGTATAAAATCCAGATAAAATCCGAGCCATCAAATCCCCCCAGACTTAAATCTTTGCTCGTCCTCGAGCAAATAAAATCAATGAAACACGAAGTCTGAGAAGGACGGTGAGTTAGAAATCGGTCTTTGATGAGTTTCAAGATCTAGTTGCGTGTCCACTGCTCAACTTATGGGAGTAGAATCGAATCTAGGCTACTCTAGCTATTCTCTCTTGTCAGCCAAACTTTTCAAAGTATGGGATTTCTATGTCGTCCTTAATCTACCATAAGAGTAATTCCAACTTCCAAGCACTCTCCTAAACTTATTTACCGTTTTCCTCCTCTAAGATATGTTATCTCTTCATTTATTTTGTTCACATTTTTTTTCTTCTTCCTTTCAAGAAAGTGCTAAGAGAAGTAATATCCCGAATTCCTAGGACGTTGAAGTTGACAAGTGTCTCCGCTTTTGCTTTTCTCTAATGATCATGACAACACTTGTCCCACAACTTAGACCCGAACCGTCGAATTTCGACACACTCATGTCATCGAATGATTTTCATTAACGATATAGTGACAGCGGAGTGTTGGTATGTATATACTTTCTTCGCTTATTCGTACAACATTTGTTTTTTCAAGAGACTATCTATCCTATGGGAGAGGCTTCGGGAACGGTTTTAGGGAGATATTTAACCTAGGTTCGGTCGGTCCTACTCTTTGGCATACCTAAATACAACAATACACCCCACAACCTAGAATCGCAAGCATCGAAGAGAGGGTTTGCTATTCACATATCATCGACAATCTACTCGAACACCTAGAGGTCTAAGTCCAAATCGCTAAGCAATCTCTAAACATCTATCACCATCATTTCATCATCGACCAATCTCAACTCAAAACGGTTTATGCAATGCATATGCTCCTACATGCTCTAGACCTATATGTAA